CACAATACTCGGGAACATTCGGCAAATTTCGACACTTTCTGTATAATTAAACTATTCAATTGAAAAGTGGTTAAATGAAAAAAATATTTTGGATTGCTCCTTATCACCGCAGCGCTTACAAAATCTAAAAATAAACACGAAAAGTCAAGTGATTTGTATAATTCTTTTGCCTGTCTTTAACGAAATCATGAATGGTTAATTAAGTTTTTTTACATATCGCCTTATATACCATACGTAAATATTACATTTATAACATAAAGTAGCAATACACCGCATGCATTATGGACAACTCGACTAATTTCAGTATATTCTTACTTGCTAAATAAATATAAATTATATAAAAACTGCTTTTTTTTCTAATAGCCAAGCATATTTCTATGTTTCTGTAAATATGGAGGCATTCGAACACTCGGCATAGCACCGTCATTCTGTCAACACAAATTTCCATGTATCGCCATTAATTATATTAGCCTCCTAAGATATCTGAAGCCTGCATAATTTTCAACAACAAACAATAAGCCATAAATCAATAAATAAATTCTAACGCAATGGGATCTATATGTTGAGAAGAGAAAACATTTTATCAGAAAAAAAAAGTAAAATTGATTTAAAAAATAGCTTAAAAATACACGAATGAGTCTAGGATCCCATTAAATCATTGAATTGCGCAATGGACTTATGGCCAACTTTTAACAAATAATCTAAAAGTAAAAATAAACCATTATAATGCGACTTCACAAATTACGCGCCATTTTAAAATTAGAATTTAATGTCCATTTACTTCTTTACTTTAATTCTCGTACTCAAAACATCTCATACTCAGAAACGCTCGTCTATACTTACCTGCTTTTTTAAGGTTATTAACGAACAAGACCACAAATTTTAAGAGAGCAAAAAAATAAAATAATAGAATACAAATAAATAAATAAAATACAATTAATCTAAAGCCGTGCACTAACAATAAAATGTTTTTATGCAATTAAAAAGCTTTTCAAAAGCAACCTCAAATCACTATATATAAAACTCTGACGGTAAACTTACGTTTTGGAGAACTGGAAGTGACAAAATACATTACAAATAAGATTAATAAATATAAAAGTGCCAAACTATAACAATTTACGATGTGTATATTATAAAACTGTCAATTCTTGACCTTTGTCAGACATAAGATCTTTCTGCTACATGCTTTTACCTATAGGTATACAAAGTATAAGTCTTATATAATTTCGAACATTAGAGCTAAAACCATTGACGGCTTTCCATTGTATATATTTATATTCCGTACACATACTACATTATTTATAATGAGGTATGTACGGAATATATACCGTGGGTAACCGACGATGAGCTATAACCCAACATAACATGACTACGTACAAAAAGTTTACGATGTGGTTATGTTCTCTCTTTTTTCTATTCCTTTCAACCAATAAAGACTTAAACGTAGTTAAGCAGACACATAAGGACTAAGACGTTATTAAACAGAAACCTTTTAACGCAGCACGCCTCCAGATTCATGCTAATTTTCATGAAAAATTTTGAAAATCTGTACAAAAGTATTATTTAGTGAAATACCCAAACTGAAGCAATTTACACATTATGAATGGCACTTACAACCCAAGTAAAATACTAAAAGACGACGAAATTTGCAAAAGAAATAGCCCTTACTGCGTTAGTAACGCAGTATAAATATAGTTATAAATACTGAAAAATCAGTAATTTATCACACATAACATGTAAGTTATCACTTGAATATTGAATATTTTTACCTTTCCTTAAAATCTTAGCATATATTTCTCAAGTGTGATTTCATTGAAATATTTGTGCTTATCTGGAGGCTTACAGCTTTAAAATAAGCCCATAATTACATTCTGTTTACATTATAAAACAAACTACTGATGACGTAAACGTTCCTCATTATATGACGTTATATTGTACTTACTCATATTCGTCCGAATCCCTTCTTCTATTATCTTTATAATCATCTCTTCTTCTATCTTTATTATAATCATCTCTCCGTCTATCTGGATATCTAGAAAATTAAAATTGAGCCGCGTCATGACAAAACCAACATTATGGGTTTACGACCAGCATGGATATAGACCAGCCTGCGCATCCGCGCAGTCTGATTAGGATCCATGTTGTTCGCTTACCAACCCTATGACATGTAGAGAAACTGATAGCGAACAGCATGGATCCTGATCAGACTGCGCGGAAGCGCAGGCTGGTCTGGATCCAGGCTAGTCGCAAACCCATTATGTTGGTTTTGTCGTAACGCGGCTCAAATGAATGTTTACTTCTAGAGCGACATCTAGAATAAGATATGATGCTTTATCAAACTGCTAGAATTGGACATGTATATAGATTGAGTATAATAATTATTTGAATATCACATACGATGAAAACGAACAAATCGGAATGTTCGCCCGAGACAAGCGATGTCAAACCGGGTTCCATTATATATTATATCCCTATGTGGGATGTTATATCGAACATAGTTTCTAAAAATTCTAAAAAAAAGGTTAGCAATGTCAGAGTGGGGAATGGGTGAGGGGTGCGGGGCAATATGGTCCGAGCGGGTTTATTTTTTTTTAAAAGCAGCGGGCCGAAAGTTGATGTTGCCATGTAACATTATGGAATGAATATACAATGAGTTTTTAAAAGATAATTGTGCATAACATTTTACCTCCGGGATCTTCCTCCGCGCCCAAAGCAATTGCACATCCCTGGGCAACAAAACTGCATCAGACACCATGTGAGCAATCCAAGTAAAGCCAGCGCCATTAAGAGACAAAATACAAACAATACAATATTACCAGCATGGTCAAAAAAGTTGTATGGCGTGGTAGTTGGAGCGGGCGTTGTGGTGGTTGTCGGTGTCTGCTGGTAAATGATGGCAACTGTAGATGTTCCGGTTAGTTGCGGATTTCCGTCGTCAATCGCTGTGACAATATACCTGCATTGGAAATGGGCTGAGAATTTAACATTTGCCAGCCGAAAATATGTTTTGGTACTGTTTTTTGTCCAAATTCTTTCTCAAACATAAAACAGTGCTTTTAATATTGAATAAAACTGTGCTTTAAATATTGAAGTTATGGCCCTTGGTTGAATTGGTCAGTGACCGACAAACAATGTCGTCTGCTTAAAAGGTTAAATGGTCAGCGAGAGAGGCGATTTATTTTAACACTATCATCATGTTATTTCAGTTCAAGGGTTGCTAAAATTCACTATTACCCTGAGAGACATGTGGTATGTTTTTTTTTTGTTTTTTTTTTTCAGGCCCCGAAGGTGACCCCATTTATTGCCTCCGTCGCATGACTATTTAAGGGTCGGAGGTCCATCCCTTAACAGTCTTACAATAATGTGTTAAAACATGAAAAGTTAACATAGTATTAACATAAAGTAATTTACGGCAAAACTTTTTTTTTGAAAAATTGAATATGTAAAGGAGGTTATAAGTTCAAGACATAGAAAAATATTACTAAATCTACATTATGCCTTAAACAAAAACATAATTACTTTTTTCTATATTTATGAGTAATACACAAACTAATGATACTAATGGGGTTAGCTAGGAGGCTTGACGATAGAATAAATAGACATACGAAAAAGGATGATTATTTACAAAAGAAAACAACAACATAACACAACAAAAACATCAAAGACAAATACTTTGCGGCCAGGGCACGTTCAAAAATACTACAAACATGAAAATATTCTTCCATGTATGCTCAAACAAAGCTAGGTATAAAAACTGAAAAGACAAAGGTCGCTCCTAACATCAACATACGAACAAGTATTTTGATGATTTACATTAATCATAATCAGATTGGAACAAAAAATTTGGATAGGTCTCTATTATATTATGATTAATGACATATATTTAAAATAGTATGCCAGTCTTTTTTAAATTGGTCCAGATTTCCACATTGGATAGCTTTTTCTTCATTTACCTTTAAAGCATATGAAATATACTTTATAGCACCAGCAAAAGATAGCATTGTTTTATTAGTTTTACATTTAAAAATATACATTTTGACATATAAAAGAACTAAATTGTTTACAATATTTATTGTATTGTTTCCTTTAGTGTAACCAAAAAGCATAGTTTCTTTATTCAAGTTTGGCATGTTTAGTTTATCTATACAAATTTCGTGTATTAATTTATTGCTGTGAATGCATTCCCAAAAGATATGTTCTATAGTTTCATCATGAAGATTACAAAGGCTACATAAGGGACTGTTAATATATTTAATTTTGAACAAAAGATTATTTGTACCCAAAATCCTATGGATAAGTCTTACTTGGAACCATTGTAAATAAGTATCTTTTGTCAATTTGAATGGTAAATTATATATATTCTTCCAGTATTCATCATCATTTGGGAGGCATAGTTTTTGTGACCATTTGACCTGACAAACGGGCTTGCTGAAATTGACATTAAGCGAATCATACATATATTTTGAGCCTTTTTGGTCTTTAATTATCCCTTTAATGTGTATTGGAATTGTTGGCAATTTTTCTCTCTTAAAAGTTAAAGGGTTGAAGCAGACATTTTGAAAAAAGTTTGTAACTGCTTTTTTAATTCCTAAATATAAAAGATGATTGATATTTATATTGTAGATTTTGCCTAATTCTTCTGGTGTATAAAACTGGCCATTGTCTTGTAAGATATCATAAATACAACGAATTCCCTTATCATACCAAGATTTACAAAAAAATACTTTTATTGCCAATAGTAATGTTCTGATTGTAAAATAAAGGTAAGTTAAAAATGTCTTCTTTATCAAATTTCTGATGCTCAATAAACAATGAAAATGCATTTAAAGTGTGTTTCCAGAATTCATTTTTAATAGATTTTGACATTTTTTCGACATAATGCTTTCCACACGTGACTAATTTTTGTACATCGATACCCTGTGTTAAAATACTTATCCAACAACCATCACTTGAAATAATTCTTCTTATCCATGTAAGTTTTAACGCATTCATAAAAGCATTTACATTTACCATTCTTAAACCCCCTTCCATGTAATCTTTAACTAACACATTTTTATTAATTTTTGAAGTTCCATTCCAAATAAAAGCATATAATGTATCATTAATTTGTTGTATATATTTATCCGAAGGATTCGGCAACATTATAAATAAATGGTTTAGTTGTGAAATAAGTATTGTTTTTATTACTGTTATTTTACCGATTGGAGTCAAAGCTCTTCTATTCCATTGTTTAATCATTTTTTCTATATTGGATATTTTTTCTTTAAAGTTAAGATCTACCATTTTTTCAAGATCCACATGGAATGTTATACCAAGCATTTTGAAACTAGTTTCGTTCCAATTCAGTTTCCATCTAGTTTTTATGCTATCACTGCTGTACTTTTTAATGCCTATCCAAACAACCTTTGTCTTTTCAAAGTTCACCCTGAGCCCCGAGATCTGAGCAAAAACTGATAAAACATCAAGAGTGGCATTTAAAGATTGTGCTGTTCCATCTAACATTACAGTGGTATCATCAGCAAACTGTGACAGTTAATGTTCAGTCTGTTTAATACGTATTCCTTTAATATTTTCTACGGATTTCAACTTAAGGGAAAGAATTTCTGCACATAATATAAATATATAACATGAAAGAGGATCGCCTTGACGACAGCCTCGCGGTACATTGATAAATTTGGATAAGAATCCACATTGACAAACAGCTGATGTTGCATTTTCATAAAAGATATTAAACCATTTTTTAATTGATGCACCAAAATTGAAAAAAGATAAGGTATTCTGTACAAAATCCCAAGATAGCGAATCGAATGCTTTTTCAAAGTCAATCAAAAGAAGTAATCCAGGAATATCATTTTCTTCTGTATAGTTCATAATATCATATATCAGTCTAACATTTTCTCCGATATATCTTCCTTTTATAAAACCCGTTTGATCTTTGCTAATAAGTTTATTTAAGAATATTTTAATTCTGTTTGCAATGCATCCAGATCCAATCTTATATATAGTATTTAACAAAGTTATTGGCCTCCAATTCTTAAGAAAAAGTTTAGATTTATTCTCCTTAGGTAAACATGTAATTATTCCTTGTGTTTGAGTAATGGATAACTGGTTGACATTATATGCTTCATTTAGAGTTCTTACAATAAAATGTCCCATTTTTTCCAGAATACTTTATAAAAATCGGCTCCAAAACCAGATGAGCCGGGGCTTTTGTTGTTTGACATGTTTTTTAAAAACAAATGATGCCTCATGATAAGTTATTTCACCTTCTAAGTTTTGGCTTTCTGTATCTGTGAGTTTATTATTATTAATATTATATGTAAAATCATTAAAATCAATTATTTCATTAGATTCGCTTTTTTTGAACAGAGCTTCATAATATCTTTCTGTTTCTTTTAAAATGTCTTCCTGGTTATCAATTATAGTTCCATTTTCATTTTGTACTCTATAAATTGTTTTTGAAATGTAATTATATTTTTCTAAATTGCAAAAATATGTAGTAGGTTTTTCACATTCAAGGGATAATTTAGCCCTTGATCTTATAAGGTTTCCCTGAAGTCGTTCATTATTTATCTGAGATAATTCATCTCTTAGTAAGAGCAGTCTATCAACATTTTGATCTGATAAATTGGCTTCAATAGAACTTATTTCTTTTAATAGTTGACTTTCTTTGTTTTTTCTTAGCTTATTTATGTATGAACTATAAGATATTGACTTCCCTCTAATATCTAAAAGTAACGTTGTGGTATGTTGTTATTGAAATACCGAACCAACATTTTAATTTTTTTTTCACCACTATACATGTTTTTTTCGTTCCTAAAGATCGACCAAGGGAGAGAACTAGAACTCTATGTAGATTACTCCCCCTTGGCCAATATTGCCGATGAAATAACACAATGTGAGGTTACACAATGCTATATAGTGAAAAGTTAACGAGAGGTATAAAAAATTGAAATATTTATCACATACCAGTTCTGCTTTTGCGACAACGTAGAATGGTATTGCACGGTCGTGCATATATTTTGACGTGACGTTATTTTACGTGCTTTATATATAGGCGCGTCAATGAAAAATGGTTCATTTTCACTTCAAACGGTCTTTTTTCTGGTATGTGATAAAAGGTTCATGACTGAATTTATTGAACTCGTTCAATAAATTAATATTATGCTCGATAGAGGCCTGCATTATATAATTTATTCCAACTCGTTCAATAAATTCAGTATTTAACTTACCTTCATTTATTGTCCTTTATTTATTAGTCAACTTAATCGAATGAAATATATTTATATTTTCTCCTCAGAAATTCGATATAAAACAAACCCAGTTGGTTGAAAGCCCTTTATGAAGAAACGTAGAAATTCAATGACGCTTACTGAGTTTGAGTACCAGCTGCAAAGTCCACTTGTCTTGTACTGTACACGTTACAATTGGCGCCAATGGCAAAATAGGTGCTGTAAGTGGAGCCCGAACTTGCTGAACACCGGACGTAACCGTTAGTTGTACTATCAGCATCCGTAACTGCCATAACACCTTCGAATATTTTTTAAGTAGAACTAATGAGTACATATTAAGGGAAAGAACGAGAGGTACATAGCAACAGAAGAAAGCTCACCCTAGTGTGTCGGGGTTAACAATTTAGCATGTTATTATTTCGGACCCTTTCTTTCGACATGACTTACCAATAACAGAAACTGAAGTTGTTATATCTGGAATATTTATATTTACTCTTACAACATGAATTACCAATAGCATGATATCCCGGAGTTGTTATGTCTGAATTATTTATAAAAAAATAATTCTTTCAACATGACATGCCTATTACTGATCTTGTAGTTATATCGATAACATTTGATTATATTGTGAACAGAGATTGTTGAAAAAAAATATGTAAAAGTTTGTAATTATTATATCAATGGTAGGATACTACGTCATCGCGCACCTGCAGATCGTTAGAATATCAAAAAGTAATTTAGTGCACCAAAGATTGGCTTTAGTACTTGATTTCGATGTAAAGTCTTTAATGTTTTACTGCCTAGGTAAGTCCTGAAAATGGGATCAAGTTTTTCCCCTAAATGCTCCCACTCGGAATCCCAAACAAATTTATCCCATTTTGCAGGTGCGCGATGACGTACTGTCCTAGGATGATAATTTGGTCTTAACGGTACATGGGAAAGTCCAAAAACGGGGTTATCTGGATCATTATCCGATATCGTAAAAGATACTTTATAGCATTATTCTTACAGAATCGTTTGTGTATTACCGTTATGGCTCTGTCGGAAGATCGAAATTATTGTAACCTTTAGTGTTTTGTACTCATAGGTTCGAACCCTACGTAGTGCCATTTTATAACCACAGTTTTTCTTCTTGCTCTGTTCTTTTTATAATTATAATTATTTATTTATTTTTCGTTTTTCCTTTTTGTTTTCTTCTTATAATATATATTTTATAGTATATATTTATTTATTTTCATTTCTATTCTTTTTTTTGTATTTTTTTATGGCAGTGTAATAAAATATTCGATCTCATAATCATGTATGTATATGAAAAAAACGGTCAAACTTGTTTTCTGAACAATTGAGTGTTCTGAGGTAAAAAAAAATGTGTCGTACCAGAAGTCGAACTTCTGCCTGTACGGGTAAAACATATTACTGACACGGTTGCTCTACCTACTGCCCTAACAAGACATATGATAACATGCAGTTTTATTTTCATTTTTATAGGTTGTGGCATTGATCTGCCTAACCTATTTTTCGCATTGTTATTGGTCTTTGTTATGTAAACAAAGGCTCAAGTTATCATCCTTGGACAGTAGTATCCTACCATTGTATATATCAATGGTATATTACCTATAGCAGTTCCGGGTGTGGTTGTGTCAGTAACTACGAACGTGTAAGATGAGGACGAAAACACCGGCTCATTATCATTTACATCCTGTGGAATTTCAAGAAAAATAATCAATATGTCTGATACTAAATGCTTCCAACATAGTTATGCAGTGTATTATGAACGACCAATTCACTTTAAACTTATTTGAAGATCACGGGGGGGGGGGACTGTTACACAGAGTTTAAGCAAGAGGCGAAGGAAAGTGGACTATAATGTTTTTTCTGACACAAAATACAATATGTAAGGCAAGATTAATTATCAAAGTTTAATTTAGCATCTCAAACCCTACATTTAAAGTTTAAGATTACCATTTTGTCGTGCGTTTCTTCAGTATAATACAATGTATAAAGATTTCCGACGAAATCCGTCACGCTTTCAAGGAACTCCGTGACAGTCATCAAAAGAACTCTTGACAAGTTATCATAAGAACTCCATCATTCGTGTAACAGTTCCTCCCCCGTGAACATGTTGTAAATACAGATGATAATAAAAAGAAAAAACAATCTCTTAGATTACTTACAGTCACGGTTATAGTAACTTGTGCCGAACCTGTCAGAGGGTTTCCGTCAATGTGGCCGGAATCAATACAATACACCGTCAAAACCTCCTCGGTCGGATATGCATTATCGACGTCATAATCGACATTGAATTCGATAAGACCACTCGGCAGTACATGAAACCGGTCGCTATTGTTGATGGCCCGGAAGTCGTAAGTGATCGAATCACCGGTGTCGTCATCTTTGCAGTCAAACGAAGCGTCGAAAGTTGTGGCGCCTTTCTGAAATTTTATTTGACCTACTTCAATATAGTCGGTAACAAAGGGCAATCGAAACCAAGGTAAATCGGTTCCAAGGTACAATCGGTACCAAGGAACAATCGGTAACAAGGTACAATCGGTACCAAGAATAGAATGTAACAATGCTTTTATAAATTTAATGTAGGTTGTTTCATTATTTTTATTTTTCAAAACTATGGACAGTTCTACTATGCCTTTCTGTTATTTTCTATAATACAGTCAAACCAATTGAATTAATGCTTTCTGTTACAAACAGTTTTCAGACAATGTGCCACGTGGCACTTCGTTATGAATTGATTAATTAAGATAAGCTATAGGTTATTTATGGAAACAAAAACTTGATAACTGATTAGATAATATGAAAAAAGAACTGTCTTTGCCGAATTGTTTCCGAAATACCGTCACGAAGTTTTGCTTAATGAGAGCACAGACAAATATAAATTATTGCATCCTTACCGCACCTTCCGGCGTGCTCACGTGATACATTATGTTTGAAAAATACGGCGCTTCATTGTTATTTTCAACGGTAAGTTCATAGATGAAAGGGCCTCCTTCATGTATACCGTCGTCTATCCAGAATGAACAGTTAAAAAAGGGATTTCTTTCATAATTCAGTGACTTGCCTGTCGCAATCTTGAAATTCCCACCTGAAATAATGATCCAGCGGTTAAAATTAAAAAGGGACAACAAAGTAGCCTTTACAATTTTCAAAGTGAACTTCGTTTTCTATGAATTCCTAATCAGTTACAAATTGTTTCCTATTATTCAACCATTTTTTTGTTTTCTTTGAATTCCTTATCAGTTACGAATTATTTATCATTTTGGTGATTAGCCTGTCCGTGCTCTGTCTTGTGCCCTGTCCTGTTTTTGTTTGGGGTCCGCCTGGACTCCTTGCCGCTGGTTCTTGTTGCTGGGTCGTATGGGGGTTGCGTTCATTGAACGCCGCCTTTCCTTGTTGATCTTGTTTATCATATTTGATTAGCTACCTTTTATCAGAACCACTGTTATACAGCGTTCATCGGATATAGCCTCTCATAACACCGGAGGTTTACGTCGAGTTCACCTACGTTAATGTTTCATTTTATTTCTCCATCATAACTAAATTGATTTTTCCAAACTAAAAACTGTCGCAAAAGAAAACAAATACACTACAATTTATCGCCAATTTAACAAAAAGTATTCAATTTGCAGAAAAAAGCAAATACTGCTCTAAAACTAAACATATTTAGCTTCACAAAGTTGTTTAGTTCGGAAAAATCGGTGAAAAAAGTTGAAACAATACATCGGGTGAACTCGTCGTAAACCATTTTACTTAGGTTCTCGATGTTTTGATGTGCTATTTCCGGTGAACGCTGTTCAACAGTGTCACTGTCTATGATATCGGGATGAAAATGCCAACAGTAAAGAGACTGGTCAGGCTGCAGGGGTATGACGGCAGGCCTAGGTACAATCATACTGGTGGCACAGACTGATCTATTCTCGTTGTAAAAGGTTAAAGTCATAGATGATTCACCAAAAATATAGATATTTAATACAAATCGTATGTGAGAAGTAAGCAGTGAACAGTGAGCTAAGCAAAAAGGCATTTCAATTTATATATGGAAGGTAATGATCTGCTGTAATGCTCAGCTATTTTGGGC